AATCAACAATTCTATTGTTTATTAACTTACCAATTTGTTATAAACAAATGTTCAACTTTTTATATTTTTTTCTAAAACTTCTAAAATTAACAAAAACAACCATATATAACAAAATATAGAAAAACATTTTTTTAAATTTTTTGATTATCATGAATATTACTTTTTATTAAAAAAAAATTTTTTTCTTTTTTTATAGACTTTGTTATATATGTTTGTTTTTGTTAATTTTAGAAGTTTTAGAAAAAAAATATAAAAAGTTGAACATTTGTTTATAACAAATTGGTAAGTTAATAAACAATAGAATTGTTGATTAAAAAAAAAATTTTTTTTGTTACTTTATAGAGGACTGTCAATTATGATTTTTAGAAAAAAAAAATTTCTTAACTAATTATTTAAACAATAGAAATATAAAAAAACGATTATAAACAATTAAAATATGTTATTAAGGAAATTTTTTTTTTAAACAATCATAATATTTGTAATGTAATAAAGTTGGAAATTTTTTTTTAAAACAATTGATTTAATCAATTTGTTTAAAAAAAATTATCAACAAATGGCGGAAATTTTTTTTTGCAAATCAATAAATATCTTGTATTAATATAAAAACGATAATATGATGATTTAGAAAAAAAAATTTTTTAACAACATTACTTGGATTTTTAAGTTTTTGTTTAAGTAAAAAATTGTTATAAACAAAGTATAAATATTTCTTTAACTTTTATGGCACGATCTTGTTAAGTATGTATGTAAGAAAGGCTCTACGAAGCGAAATATTTTTACGACCATTATTAAAACATTTTTTTTCACTTACAATTAAGACGGTCGTTCGAGAAAATTTCGTTAGTTAACAATTATTTAACTTGTTGAAAAATTAACTTTAAGTAAAATTTCCAACGGGAATAAATTAATTATAGTGTTCAGAACACACCATAATTTTTCAAATTTAAAAAAAATATTCAATACCTTAAATAAATTAATTAATGTGCCGTAGTCGCTTTTGACGCCACGCGCGAATCCTAAAAATGTCACGCACAGACCTATTTTCAGCGTTAAATTAAAGTTATAAATAATGGAGATAGAGTTCCGGGAGCTGAGAGTTTTTTATTGGAAATTTCCTCCTCTTTCAGAATCTTTATTTGAAATTTCTTAAATATTAATAGTTTATTAAATATTGGCAAAAACTAAATTCCATTTTTTTTCATCTTTAATGGTCTATAACTTTTGCAATTTTTTATGTGCTAATACACGCTTTTAGCACATTTTTCTAGGCGTCATTCCGGTTCGAATGAGCTATCGCACATAATTTTAAGAGCAGTATCTCTATTTTGTTCCATTTTCAACTTGTCGACTAGACTATTCAGCCTAAGGATAATACTATTTTCAATTGTCATCAGTATTACAATTTACAACACCCTCATATTATGTCTAGCCATTTACGCAGGACAAACCATTAATGGTTACTCTTTGGGACTGTCACCCCGCTGGTGGGTCTCATATCCGATATATATTATTTTTTTCTACTATTATTAGACAGCTGTCAGCTGTCAATGTTCAAATCTGAACTCCACTGAAAAACGTCGGAGTATATCAAGTAATTTCATAATATTTTATCATAAGGAAAATTGCGATACAACTTATTAATCTCACACAACCCCTATTGCGTTGGTATCATGTCAATATTGAAACTACGACCAGCAATTTATCATGTCACGCCAATTTTACCAACACTTCCTTGTTAATGCTCTTTCCTAAGAATAATGGCAAGCCCGTAATTTGTGCTTTAACTTGCGTGCTTACAAGCAATGCGTAAAACGAATTGAAAGCCTTTAAATTCTTTACAGAATAAGTAGCTCCTGATTTACGATCACGCGTAGATTTAATGATAGATATTGACTAGAGGATGAACTTGAGAGACTTGAGGATAGGATTTCCATAGAGCAGTCTCAACTTATCAATAAAGGATATTAAAAGATCTTTTGGGAATTGGATTCGGATGATATCATAATTATGGGAATTGAAAGAGTTCAATTCCAGCCAATTGGGTTAATTAATGATTCAGTATTGATATAATTGAGTTTGGTCAGGGTAGTATTGAACTAATATCTTAATAAAAATGAATAAGATTATATGAAACATAGGTACGGATACGTAATACGCTAGATCATTAGTCCACTTTTTTATTTATTAATTTTCTAGAATTATTTAATAAAATCATAATATATTACATAAGAAAACCACTGTATTTATATTAATGTAACCATAGCAGTCTTGTTTAGGAGCGCCACAAATGCATATAGAACTAGTTTTTCAACTTACTTTTTATGTTGATTAGCGTTAGGCTATCCAACTGACTGGGTAGTCCATTTATTAGCAACGTTAGCAAATACCTCAACGTCCTCTAGCCATAGACGTTGTTTGCTCTCGATGTATACAGCCGAACTTGCGTTATAGCTCGGGTCTGTAGGTTATGCTCAACTCGTTTTTGACGTGACAACGTCTTATAATTCGATGGAGCCGGCTGCACGTACGAAAAAACATGACTCATGCGGCGTTACCTCTGAGGCGTTCCATTTAAGGCTTGAAGTGCAAGTGAGAGCGCGGAACGAGCGACAAAGAGGCACAAAAATTGATATATGTAATTGTATTTATGCATACAAATAAAAGTAACTTGATCAATTCAATTGTGATTTCCATTTACCTCCTTCTCTATATTCATACAAAATATCTATCAAAGAAATAATATTAAAATTTTATTTTCAAAAATGCAACCATTCCATCAGTATTTTCTTATGACGTTGTCACGTTCAACTATCGTCAGTAAACCGACTTTACAGACAACCGATTTTTTTTATGTCTTTTCGAAGAAGTGCTCGAATAAAAACATTCATTTACTCTTTCTGTTATGGCCAGTATTTTGCAGTGTTTCTTAACTACAATGGCACGAACAAAAATGTTATAGGATATATATCAGGGGCTTAAAATAAAATCATGCATTTATAAACGAGTACCTACGACGCATATGCTTTTATACAAACACATTTAAAGCTTTAAATCAACGAATGTCTGTTGTTGATAAAGTTGAAGACTTCCAGTTAGTACATCTAAGATTATACCAATTTGGCATGCGAACTGGTTAGTGTTTGGTGGGAAAAAGTTTGTTTTGGAAATTAGGAAAATACCAAAAAATGTTTCTATCAAAGCGAATTTAACTCCTGCCTACTGTAACCGGGAATTTATTGAATACTTTTGAAAATTTAAGCGCTGCAGTGTTGGCTTAGTGGCTTCAGCGTGCGACTCTCGTCCCTGAGGTCGTACGATCCCCGGTTGTGCACCAATGGACTTTCTTTCTATGAGCGCATTTAACATTCGCTCGAGCGGTGAAGGAAAACATCGTGTGGAAACCGAAGACCAAAAAGTTGACGGCATATGTCAGACACAGGAGGCTGATAACCTACTTGCTTATTAGATTGAAAATAATGATCATGAAACAGATCCAGAAATCTGAGGCCCAGACCTAAAGAGGTTGTAGCGCCACTGATTTATTTAATTTTTTGAAAATGAATATGTATTTATGGATAATGTCTAAAGGTGAAATAATTTTTAAAATCGTACCAGTAGTTTTTATTCTAAGCTTTGTACAGATTTTTTTGAAGATGATATAAAGGTTAAACAATAATTATTATTGTTGCGGTTTAAAAGTCTTAGACCTTGCCTAAGCTCTATTTTTAGAACTGCTATAAGAATGCAATCAGAAAATCTCAATATTAATTTGAACTTAATTTATTCATAATAATTATAATTAATTTTCCAGAATATATAAAAATATTATAGTGCTACAATCTAAAGTTCGTATATTCTGCCACACATAATGGCGTGTAAATTTGTCTTAGAAGAAATTTTACATAGAACTTACATACATTTTAAGTCATATTATATCACGTAAATAATAATTAAAAGAATAATAACTTTTTCCAAAAGTAGTACATTAAGTCGATTTTAAAAAACTCTAGTAGGAAGATCTTTTAAGGGTTTTTAGTAAATTATTATAAACCCTGATTGCCATACAAAAGGTGTTTTTCCTATACAATTTTAAATTAATTGTTGGCACAGTGTGAGTGAGTGAGTTTCGTTATGTGAGTGTTAGTTTCTCCCTATCTCTACTTCGACAGATGTTTATCGGTATCCCGTTAAAAGAAAAATAATAAAGTTTTTGTAATCAAACATTTCAAAATATTGATACAGGGAAGAGATAAAATTATGACCTTATTGAACAAAGGTCAAGGTCAACTATCAAGATAGTTTGCTCCACTAATTGCTCTAATACATTATTTTTGAGCCTTAAATACCCTATTTACTTCGACTGAATTTCCCTAAACTATAATTCCATATCTAAGTATAGATACAATTAATAATGAATCAGTATTATTATACTGTTTTAACTGTAAGAAAACTGCTATCTGCCTTGATTCATCGAAGCGTAACCACAATTTGACAGAAAGAGACAAAAGAGTGCTAAAATTACTTACTTTTTATGGATAAAGTCTGTAGGTGGCAAGTGTAATTATTTATAAGTGTTATTTACATTTATATCAGGATGGAGCACTACCTGTTTTATTTCCATTATGTTTTTATACTATGAATGAAACGAATAATAATAATTACATTAAAAGTAATTTGTATGCTCTGTGTAAAAAGAGTCGAAGTCGTAGTACGTAATAACAATGCTTTATATCTTTATATTTATTCACGGGAAACCAATTGTTTTTATTCGATAAATCGTTACGTAATTGTTTTGTTTAAGTACAAAATAAGACATAAATCGTGACTAGCTGTGACAGCACATGGCACGTTTTAGAAAAACCTGTGAACAATAGTTGTTTTTTCAAAAATAAATTCAGTGTTATATTTGCAGTAGGTCGATTCGTGTCAGAATTTTTGGCTTTAAGAATAAATTAAGCTCGAAGAACAATTTTACATTTATATTATTATGATGTTCCCAGGATGGAAAGCTGTATGTGGAAATCCCGACCAGTGTGAAACCATGGACTGTCTTCACGCCAGATATGTATTGTATCGACAGTTTCGTGAGTGAGGAAGATGGGAAACAAATTAGTAGATTAGACGCATTAGTTTGCTTTGATCCGCAGCCAGATGAAGAGAATTACATTCCAGGAATAATATGTAAGTTATCCAGCTCGCTTTCCCTACATTTAGTTCCATAAATTTAGTTTGATTGGTCTAAGCGCATTGAATACCAATCTATAGAATTTTGTTTGAAGTATGCAGTTTGTGGTTCACATCGTAAGTCTATTTCACTGTTATTTTCTATGAATCTTCTTGTGCTTCCTGAAACCTGAGAAATGTAATGTTTTTACAACCCCAGTCTCTTCCATGATTCACGCTACGTGCCTAACTACAAGATAGTTTGTTAAACAAAACAAACACTTATCAATTCAATGTGATATTTTATTAGATACGTCCAGATAATATGTTCCCACTGTGGACCAACCTGTGTCAAATGATTTTTTCCATAAAAGAGAAAGCCAATACACATTTTGGAGTCTGTTCCATTTAAAAAAAAGGAATTTATATTGAACTATTTCGTTGCAGGTATGTTGATATCATGCGTATTCATCATCGTCACTGTGGCGGTATACTACTGCCTTCCAGAGCTATGCAACCTTCACGGAAAGGTTCTTATAGCCTATCTCCTCAGTCTTTTCGTTGGCTTCATCTTCCTCTCGACCATGCAGATTCTTCTCAGCATAGATAACATTTCGCGGGAATATTGTATGACGTTTAGTAAGTATTTTACATTTTTAACTCCATTTCGCTTGTTATGTTATTCTTAATGAGTGAAATTTTATATTTAATAAAAAAGAGACGAATTGTGGTAATTTAAGTGGCCTTAAAAACCGGCATCGCACTTTCGAGCTCTTAGGCATTGAGAGTGTCAATGAGTTTCAGAATTAACATCAGTGAGCCTCCTACTCGTTTGTTCCTGTTCTATAGGACTTTAACCTTTGAGTGATTATAGTTTGGTTAGTACGTCAACCAGTAAGTGACCATGAGTCATAAGTCCTGTAATGGTACAACGAGTAGATAATTGTCATATAATTTCACCATGTTATCACTTCCTTGGCTTGGCTTTGAGTTTGTTATGTGAAACGTTGGTACTTTTAACATAGCGCCATCTGTTAGAATTGTATCAAATAATAAACAAATATTTGCAATAAAATAATATTGCGGGTATAAATTGAGATGTAAGCTATCCTATCTTTTAAGGTAGATCAAACTGCACACGGTGTGCAAATTTGATTGAAATCGGTTCCGTAGTTTAGGAGTTCGTAGCGGACAAACAACGTGGCACGTAATTTATATAATATATATTATATTAACATTTTGTATGCATTGCTGATTACATAAGACAAAGAATAAGACAATAGATAATAATGTCAAGTGGATATCTGTGTAGGTAGTCTGGATACAATGAAAAAGGCATTCGCACGTTATCCTTGTTTGACAAATTGAACGACAATCCTTTCGTTTTAAACTAAACAAGTCTAAAAATTTCTCCATGCTAATTTTAATGTAAAATTTCTCCATGCTAATTTTAATCTAAAATGTCTCCATGCTAATTTTAATCTAAAATGTATGATAAAAACCAACAGGTCACAGGTCAATAGAGACTGTCGTTACGGGGTTTCAGATATTCCTGCGTAGAAATTTTTAATTTAGAAATTATGTGTACCCTCCACAGAATAAATGAATATTTTTTATTACTTGACCTCGTTCCTGTTTAATGTTGTTTGTAGTATGTGCGTGTTAACAGTTTTTATTCTAATGGAATGACAATGTTTATATTAAGAAATCAGAACCTTTTGTTTTGTTTGTTAAATATTCTCTTTTCTCTTCGTGAAAAACCTTGGTTTCTATTTAATATACAGGGGTATGGATAGGAATGTTATATAAAGTTAGTATGATCGTTCTAACAATGTTACATAAGTTATCAAAACTTTGTCTCAAATGCCACCGCACCGTATATTTTGAAATTCTACGAACCAGTAAAATCATCACACTGAAATGATCAGGTGGGTTAGCGGTTTTATCGCTTTCTAGCGATCTCTTTCAAGCAATCGTTATAAAGAAAAATAAAATAGGATAAATGCAAGAAGTGCTAAATAAAGAAAACTACAATAAATAATAAATAAAGAAACAGAGAACAAAACAAATATAGTTAATGAATATGCCACATGTTGTCTATGGTAGGTACATTTAAAAATGTCGACTTTGATCCGATAATTCTAATTTCATACTTCGGGTACTACATGTGTTAAAATGTTCTTCAAAGGATTTTTCGGTATTTTTATCGACTCCATCTGGTCACATTAATAACGAAACAAACGCATATGAATTATTTGATTTGGCATCTAGAATATTCTAAATGTTTTGAGTACATTTAAGAGTATTGTTCACAGTATCAATAATCTAAAAATGTATTGCGTATACAATGAAATCATTTCTCGTGTCCATTTCACACCTTTATTTGTACACGTGTATTTATTTCATTTTTCTACCATAATTTCATAAGTGTTTGATTGCCCTTTTGGTGAAATGTGTGATGTTTGAGAGCATACATAAAATAAAATAAAAATCAACATTCATTTATTCATAGACTTATAAACGTCAATAATAAAAAGGGTCTAAATTTACTGCCAGCCCTGCGATTCTGTAACTCACTTTTCGAACTCACACAGCGGTTTTCGCATCGGCGGTCGCTCTCAAATCAGTCGTGAAGCAGTCATTTTATGATTTGGCATTCTGAAAAGGTGGGAGCTTGTAGTTTATTGTTTATCAGAATGCCAAATCATAAAATGACTGCTTCACGACTGATTTGAGAGCGACCGCCGATGCGAAAACCGCTGTGTGAGTTCGAAAAGTGAGTTACAGAATCGCAGGGCAGTTCCCAAGTCAAGGGCGTACAGCGGGCGAGAAGAACTTAGAATCCCCTCCGAAATTCCTTGGATACAGAGTTTTCAATATGAATAACATTTAGATTTCATGCTTATACCAAAGATTAAGTAATGTCCTATACCAGGGAGATCGTGTATATAGTATTTTCCTTAATAAATTCCATTAGTGACTCAGAATAATTCCTGCATATCAATTAGTAAGTTTTAGATCACAATGCACGTAGCACAACCTATTTGTACTTAAGTTATAATACGTGTAGAATATTATGTTAAATATAAAACACCTTTTTAGTATGAAAACGCAGTTCACATAATTATTAAGAGTTATTAAGAGATAAAAAATAATAATTCAAAATTCAAAAATAATTTATTCATTTAGGTAACATAATGTTCTCAAATCAAAGGCGTAGAACGAACGAACTGGCAATAAACTTAACGTTAAAATACATTTAACGCACGCACACAGGCGAACATTATACATATACAATAGCCCTTACATATAGACATTATATATCAATACTAACAAAATAATAGATGTTACTAACCGCTGTACTATTTCCTAGTAGTGGGTCGGGTATGATAAAATTAGGCACGTATGTTTTTGATTACTGCGAATCTATACTAAGGTTATAGGGAAAAATTTGTTCTGTTCGACAGAACACGATTTCCTAGTAAAGCCAAGATTGAAAGCGTTAGCAACCGTTTAGTAAATACGACACATTGATATTAATTTACAAATAATCGACTCGATAAATGTTATGTTCATAGATAGCGCTTTACGTAATTTCCGAAGCATGAAGGACGACAACTAAGATGTCATGATAATTGAATGACTACGCGAGATTACAAGTGTTGCTATTGCGTAAGACTTACTCAAATAAGTACGAAATAAGTACGAAATACAAAAAAACCTCTATTTGCAGGCAACACTAAAAGCTCAAAAGTATGCAAATAGAATTTATTCCGATGAAATCAGTTTTACAAAATGATAGTTATTTGATTAAGACAAACATGTTCATAGACACTGAAGTATTTCCGAAACAATTCAACTTAGGGTCTTGAAAAGAGCGTACCAATTCCTCAAAGGCCGGTAACGCACTTGCAAGCCTCTTCGCGATTAGAATGTCCATGGGTATCTTCAATCGTTTACAGACGATAAAACTATTTTTTTGCCGTCCACATACACCTCAATGCCAGAGGGCTCAGGAGTGCATTGCCGGCCTTTTAAGAGTTCATACGCTCGTTTTTTGAAGGACCCTAAGTCGAATGGTTTTGGAAATACTTCAGTGGGCAGCTGGTTCAGTTGTGGAACGACGGACGTCAAGGTGATACGGGTGGAATTTCGTATTCTGCCTTAACGTCCGATGATGAAACCAGCTGCAGGTATACTTTAAACTTAAACTACGCAGATTTAATGCGGATTATATGTACCTATCTAAAATGCTAGATGGTATAAAAATTGAATTGAATTGGGCCTGGAAAACGCATAGCATCATTCACGCGGTAAAATTTGTTTATAATACAAAAGTAGAACAACACATAACACTATTACTTTTTTAAACGTTCGCTATTCATGTTTATAACTCCGATGTTTAGAAAACAGATCTAAAATTAAAAAGAATGATTCGCATTTTGAGTCTGAACTTTCAAAACGCACCTTCATAGCCCAACGCTTTCTCCCATTCACAGGCCCTTTTATCTTTAACCACTTTACTAAACACAATATTTTCACTAACAATTAAAAACTCACATTACATACACTGACAATCTTCGACAACATCTTCTCAACCTGTCCTATGCTGAAATATTGACTGATTGATTAATATCAAGTACCGTTAACATGTCAAAAGGAGGAGACAGGCTGCCCACGACACATGGAATCCTAGTCTGGGGGTATATTGTGTATAATAAAGATTTTTCTTTTTTTTAAAAGAAATAAACATGCATACTATATCTATCAGGGCTGCTCTGATAAGAACAGTAATGTACACTACAAGGAGGTTGTAATAGTTGATAAAAATATTTATATTTTCACCAGTGCGATAAAATTAAGTGTTCCTTTCGGCAATTAATAAACCAACAAATAGATATTTGAAGAAGATTATTTTACTTAAAAATGGAGGGATAAAAGATGGACATTTCGAACAACAAAATTGACTAGACCTACTGGAAAGAGATACATAGGACGACAAAAGAAAAGATGATGACGTAGTAGAACTAGCGGGGAAAAACTGGATGAATATAGCTAAAAAGAAATGGAAAAATATGAACCCTATAAATAGGACCCTAAAAGGGGCCATACCTAACTAGAACACTAACAAAACTAACCATAGTGAAAGTAACAAAGAAATGTAAACTAAACAATTGTTGTATGCATTAATTATTACAGCTTTAATAGTAATAATTTACTTTAAATTACTTTAAGTCAAAATTTTCAAGACCATAACGATATGAATTGACCCATTAGTAAAGTGTTACCAAAAATAACTAGAATTACGAAATTTAACGGCTTGGACGCGCCTTGGATGTTTATGGTTGTTTCACAATAAATTTATGACATTCGGAATATTTTTCTCCGATTTTTCGATGTTAAAGTTAAAATTAGAACTCATTCTGCTGCGATGATCCCTGGGGGATTTTATTCGAAATAGTTCTTATGGTATGCCCCGGATGCTCATGTGGGCATATGGCGTTTGTCTGCGCTGGTATTCAGCGATATAGTGATAAACTCAAACTCAAAATATCTTAATTCATGTAGGTAAACAAGTACACTTATGAATTGTCAGAAAGAAGTTAAATTAATTGTAAATTTACATTTACTACCAGTTCGCAAGTCAAGGGCGTAGAACGGGTAAGAAGAACTGGCAAGAAACTTTCCACCACTCTTTTTAATCGCCAAGTATTGTCATACAAATTGTTTGAACTGGAGCAAATCAATCCCAAGTCCCTTATCAGTAAAATGTCGGATTTACTTTACTGCATATGCTGCAGAGCTCAGCCTATTCGAAAGAGTCTCTATGAGTGGGCCCCACTGGAGTTTACTGTCGATTGTTATGCCTAGAAAAACAGTTTTATCAACTTTAGAAAAAGAGTTTAGTTCACTGTCCTTAATTTACATGTTACCGTCTTGTAGTTTTTATTATTATATTTCCAATACACAAATAAACAGTCGTAACATCTACATCGTAATAATATTAAAAAAAATATAAATAGAAATTAAAACAAGTTTAAAAAGTTTACTTCCTGTGGCAGTGTACATTACATTTGCTTGCTGTATTTGTTGAGCGAGGAAAACACCAGCTCTGGGCTCACCAATACTTTCTACCAAGCGCCCACTAAAATCTTTAAATAGTGCCTGTGCACTTAAATGCCTAAGAATCTCTACTACAAAGGAAACAAAATTAAAGGAGTCTTAAATGTATTTGAGTCGTCACTCCCGTACTCTTTACGTTAAAAGTTATTGTTTGATGATTTGCTGTTTGAAAAGAGTACCGAGAGTTTTTTACGCCGGCTTTTTCTCTCGGCCTACACCCTCTGTCTTCTTTGTCGATGAGTAGGGAAGCCTACAAATTCAAATTTAATGACGTGGAATAAGTGATACATGTATCTTATGTTCCATAATAAACATATTTTTTTATATTTTTTATTGGATTTTGACTCCAATAACTTTTAACGTAAAGAAATTAGACGGCGCTAAGTTGTTCTGAATCCTTAATAGGAAAAAATATAATTAACTCACACCAAACAAGAACAATGAACGATAAATCTAAATATAGAAACAAAGATGTCCAGTGTTAATTTGGCGTCACGCAGTAACGTCCTGTTGTGGACACTCCATGTGGCCATGGGACTTCACTTACACTTGTATAATTTATTTCACTCAGTCGAAGGCCTGAGTTTTTAAATTTGCCAGCTAAAGTCAGTTATCAATTTTTAAATAACGAGGATGTTTTAATTATCATAGAAATATGCGGGCAGAAAAATTGTATGCTAATTCATTGTTATCGCGCAGTTCTAATTTCTTTATAACTAAAGTACCGCCTTTGAAAACAAAATAAGGCATTATTTATTTCCATTGCTAGATTTCGGACTATTTATGTGTCTATGTGTGTAGTGTATAACTTTGGATTATACACGATGTTTTCCTTTATTGATTATATAATACTTATACTAAAGATTATTAAAGAATACTCAAAGATTAAAGTTATTCTCGATAGTACTCGGCCACTATCTCTCAATTAACAGTATATTATTTTCTATTCCAGCCTTTATCATCTACTACTTCATCCTGGCAGCATTTTTCTGGTTAAATGTCATGTCGTTCGACATCTGGTGGACGTTCAGGTACGCACAATAGTTTTAGCTAAAAGAGTTATTTTCGAATTTGAAAATTATAAGGCATTCAATCTTGTTAGAATACGGCTATTGTCATTAATAATTTTTAAAGGAAATGGCTCTTTAATTAGAAATATTGTATCATTCTAAGACAGGAACTCTAGGATATTCGTTATGTGCGATGACCAGTAAACTTCGTTACATTTCAGTGCAGTGGCATTTAGTACATATTTTATAGGTGTTTTTGTGCTTTAAATGCTTTATGACTGATGACTAGATTTGTGTGTTATTTTTTAAATAACTTGTATTCATCATACATTGTTGTTGTTTCTTTGTAATCTTTTATCTTGTTTTTCTCAATTTGTGTTGGTAACTGTTAATAATAATAGTCGGTGCAAAAAGGTATTATATATAAATGTTTCTGAGTAAAAAATGTTTAAAGTTGTAACAGAAATAAATATTCTATAATATGTATATACATAAATAATAATAATGTTAATTATTTTATGTATATACATATTAATGTATATACATATTAATGTATATACATAATATATCATTATTATTAACATTACTATTTTAAAAAATAAAATTATCGTCTAATGTGTACTACTGTATCTTGTTATGGAATCCTTATTTATTCATGAAAATTAACTTTGTTGGTGGGTTCTTAGTGGGGGGTTAACACTGGAGATAGCCTTATGGGTTACTTATATGTGTGTTAGTTAACCCGCGAAAACCTTATAAGTGTGGGGCTGGTAAAATTTTTAGTCATACAATTTAATTCCGTAGTTATAATTATTTAAATTTTTACTTATTTGAAATTTCAGCGGCAACCGAGGAATTTCTATTGAAAGAATGTCAGTGAAATCCAGATTCAGAGCATACTCGATGTACGCGTTTGGAGTCCCCGCGCTGTTCACAGCATTGGTTGCTGGTTTGGAGTTCTCACATCTGCCACTGAACTGGTATCTGCCCCTGTTAAGACAGCAAGGATGTTTCATAAGTGGTACGATTTTTATTGCATCCCTTTATACTTCGAGTTAGCGCATTCTACTACACCCTTTCAATATATTCATATAATTTCTTTTATTTAATATATTCAAGAAGCCTTGTTGTAAACAAATATAAGTAAACGATTTTAAAACAAATTGTGACTTTCACAATGGTGAAAGTCGTGAAAGGTTTCGAGTATTATAATGATAATACTCGAAACAGAACAAATCTAAGCGTACGACCAACCAGGCTCCAGAACATAAACCACTCCTTGTATGGAAATTGTAAGCATTCATTTTTACAACAAACTCACGAGCGAAAATAGAGAATTATCGCTGAATAAATTCAAAACTCTCGTTAAACGTAAATTAATGAGTAAAGCTTTTTATAAATTTGACGATTATCTAAATGATCCTAATCCTTGGGATTGATTTGCTCTAGTTCAAACAATTTGTAAGACTCAAAACTTAGCGATTAAAAAGAGTGGTGGAAACTTTCTTACCAGTTCTTCTTGTCCGCTTTACGCCCTTGTCTTGCGGACTAGTAGTAAATATAACTCAATTTAACATATTTTCTGTTGAAGTTCATAAGTATAATTATTATATAGTAATTCTTAGTTAAATTTGTTACTGAATCGTATTAAACAGTATTATATTGTGTTTGAAGTAACTATTTATTAAGTACTAAAGAGAAATTCAGTTTTTAGTTCCCCTAATATAAACATTAAAAAAATCAGTGGCGCTACATCCTCTTGAGGTCTGGGCCTCAGATTTCTGAATCTGTTAAATGATCATTCTTTTTTAAATCTAATAGGCAAGTAGGTGATCAGCCTCAAGTGCCTGACACACGCCGTCGACTTTTTGGATCTAAGACATGTCAGATTCCTCCCGATGTTTTCCTTCACAAATTTCCTTCAAGCAAATGTTAAATGCGCACATAGAAAGAAAGTCCATAGGTGCACAGCCGGGGATCGAACCTACGACCTCAGGATTGAGAGTCGCCACTGAAGCCACTAGGCCAACATTGCAATATAAACATATTTTTATAAATAATAACTTTCCCTTTTTATTTATAATCTTTGCAATACTGAATGGTTTTCTGTACTTACACAAACTCACGTTTCAGGAAAGAGCAAACTCATATATTTGTACGGGCCGATGGTAATCCTTTGCGTTGCGAACTTGGTATTTTTCATCTTGACTGCGTTGAAAATTCGGGAAATAAAGGAACAGACTGCTGTACTGAAGTCCAGGGAGAGTGCTACACACGACAAACATAATAAAGACAAACAAAGGTATCATTTATTATCAAAATAATAATTCCCTAGTAATGACTTCACTTTTTTTGGCTTTAGCGAAAAATCAAGCCTTTTTGAAAAATTGAAAATAAAAGAATTTTACGTTGCTTAACGAAATAAATAAAGGAATAAACGAATATTACTGTAAGCGTGGCCACACTTTAAATTGAAATACATGAAAAGTATTATTATGATGGCTTTCTACTTTTTACTTATAAATACAAAAATGAGTTTGCTAAATATCTTTAATTACTAAAATATATTTTTTTATATTTCTTACAGTCCAATAGTACCACCGACGAAACAACAGTAGCGTCAATTATATAATAAACCATTTATTCTTCCAGGTTGCTGCTGTATGTTAAGCTCTTCATCGTAATGGGTATTAACTGGGTGCTAGAAGTGATCAGCGCTTTGTATCCTAAGGCTAACAGTATATGGAAGTTCACAGACGCCTACAATGTCCTGGTGGGTCTGATCATCTTCATTCTCTTCGTGTGCAAGAAGAAAATATTCCGGCTACTAAAGAACAGGTAATTTATTATTTCTAAGACTGGATATTGCAGATTCTTATAGATCTACTACTTGCCTTGGTTACACTTTATCGACTGAGAAGTTAACTACGCTTTATTTATAAGTAAACCCTCTACCTAGATCCATAATGTTACAGGTTAATTTATGTGTTTCTTTATCCATTGCTTAGCTATATACTATGTCATGTTTTAAACCAGTTGGTGATTTACATAGGATCAAAGAGAAAGTTCACAGAAGAGATACAGAATTAAGAAGTACGGTCCGGACTGTTGGAAGTCGAAGCAACATAAACATGGATCAAAAAAGAACAAGCTTAGAATCTATAAGAACCTCTAATGGAGGTGTACAAACTACTGTTATATAAAGACAGATAAACGTAAAAATAACTTTAAGGACACAAATGAAACGAAGACTAAAAATAATGATTTATATCAACAAGGTACGGAATTAAGTTTAGGAACAGCCTAATGACAGACTAACGCAAGCTTTAATTAACATGCTGTGGTTTAAAAGGAGTATAAGTTGCACATGGTTTTAAAGCACTATGGGACAGATTAATGATTCTAGAATAAGTTTTGTTTTCTATCTTAAGGTGTTTCTTGGTTGGGTTTTTCATTTTCCTTTTATTCGTAGATTTCTCTTTTATTGGGGTTCTCTGGATTTGGATAATTTCCGGTATACAATTTAACTTACTATTAGAACTTTGGTTTGGTTTATTATACTCCATTTTATTTTTTATTTCATTTACCTACTATATTCACTCTTGTATCATTTTAGGATCGGCACGTATTTTGGCATGTTATCGCGCGGTAGGGTGTAATAGGTGAGAAACATAGATTCTTAGAATTACGTGCTCAGTCTCACTTGTGGTTATTAGATTTTAACAGAATGAAGAGAGTTCTCTCTTTTTCTTGTCTTAAAGTCCTATTAGCAATAAATCTAAAAACGACCTCTTCCGTATCTACTGTCTTGCGAATTTACGCTCCGGGTGTAGTTCCGAATTATTACACAATCACAATTGCTGTTAAACCAAATGAATGCTGGGGCACAGTGACAAAATTATTCTAGATGGGTGTGTTTGGTTTCTAACTATAGATTTTTGTATCTAGGAAGTAAAAAATCTTGTTTCAGGTGGCGAATTTCATGTTTTTGAGCTTATATGCAGTTTACTCTATTATCTTTAGAGAGCTTTGCTTTTTATAAAACAGTTTTAATAATTGAAAATGTTTTAACAATTTTTCAGTATAAATTTTGTAGCTTTATGCCTCAATATTTATAATTCTAAGCTAAATGTAATCTACCAAACTGTTACTTAGGCCAATTAATCGCTTCTATAAACTTAAGTATTGGTACAATATTGTCGTCACATACTGTTTAAAATAAATTTACTTTAAACTCATTATACTCACAAATATTAAGTACTATTAAAGCAGTTACTATTTGGATTGATTTTTGAATAACCGAAGAGAAAACTACTCGAGTGTGCCAAACGAACTTTCGAGTAAGGCTTCGTATTTTAACCTGATTCTTAATTAATAAATTAGTCTAGTTGCACCATTTTAAATCAGTCTCTTTTCATCGCAGCGTAAACACAATGTGACAGAAAGAGACAAGAGTACTTCTTGATGAGTTCCTGTGCATTTGCAACTAAACTTTAAGTATGTATTGTATCAATCAATTAAAATTACAGACTAAAAGTTAATTTGAAGTTTTCAATATTAAACAGGTACAGGCAGGTACGCGGCAGATCCATGAACAGAAGTCACACCACGAGCTCTCGGACTATGTCAACAAAAGAAGATGTGGCATTAGCAGCACTGACGAAACACTAATCTTTTAACACAAAGAGTATGTCTACGGTTCCATTTAGATTCAACACATCATATGCGGCAGTGATTTAATCTATAAGCTTTATTTCACTACTATTATGTTTGATTTGCCGCGGATGGTAGCTTGTATATTCTACATTTAAAAATTCTATGATATCATTAGACATAAACAATTACGGCCTTGGTTTTTATCGTCAAAGCGAGACTAGAATAACATCAATTTAAAACTCCTGTATTGTAAAATACAGCTTTTTACAAAGCAATAAAGACTATTGCAGAACAAGAGGAAAAATAAAATTAAAAACCACAAATTAATCTTTAACGTAGCCAAAAACAGTGCTCTGTCTCTTTCCATTATTTCGTAAATACAATTTGACGGAAAGAGACAAGTGTACTATTATAACAGTGCAATATCATTGAGTTTTTATAAAGGGATAGTCTTAGCTATTATATCGGCTAGATCGTCTAAAACTTTTTATATTGTTATATTAACCACTTTTGATAATGCACTAGGATAGATTTTAATTAAATTCCCAATCCTTTAGTGGGCGTTGCAAATATAGAAATATTTTGCCTGTTACACAATCAGCTTTTTAGACTTCTATAATTTGGTTTGTTTAATAATCCAGTTTCGTTTCAACCTTTATTCGGTATTCGCCTCAGTCTGTCTTTAATATCTTTCTTTTGTTTGTCTTTCATTTAATGGTGCCTATTGCTGATTGATGACTCACCTTTTTTATTCGAGAATGTGCTACTTTCGCACCAAAATTCATCCACAGTTGAAAGTCGCTAGTTTAGTAGGACCAACACTGGTCTGTGTTTTTACCTCGTCGGATATCTATGGAATTTCACATGTATGATTGCAGTATATATAATATGTTTTAAGACAAAACCTATGTATATTTTATTTACTTTATAGACATAAATGATCTCATTTAATTTTATTATTCGTTACTACGAAAATATATTTACTAGTTATGTACTGCAATATTGCACTTTGTATGCATTTTTATTCTTATAGATGTACTTTTTATAATTGTATAAAAATAAATTGAATAAATGTTAAAAAAATAGCTTGTATCATTATCCCACTATTCAAATTAGTCTAAACAAAGTCTTTACTTTGTTTCGTATTTATGCACCGTTTTAACTAAACTTCCTACTAATCTATCTCTTTTGGTCACAGCGTAAACACAATTTGAAATAAAGAGACAAAAGTTCAAAAAAAATTATACAGATTTAGTTTTTAGCGACAGTCAAAGTAATTCAACGTTTTGTCCTTATCAGTTTCGTACTACCTTGAAGATAAATAGAAGTGCAATGCATTCCTATATTAATAAAAAACCACGGGTCCGGGAGTGCCGGCAGAAGTGAAAACTTGAATATTAACGTTGTGCATTTTTGATATTTTGGAACGGTTAGGGAATAATTTTGCACGAATTGCTTTAATTATCAGTATAAAAGTACTATCATTTATGAGGTAGAACACAATATTTATTTATTGTGCTATCGTACACAAACATGACAATTTATATTTCATTAAAAACGCCGCGCCAGCTGTCTATTCTCCATCCGTCTTACGAAACCTACACAAAATAATTAAAATTAGTATTAAATAATTCAATCAGGAAATTTCACTATTTTTTAAGTTGGCATTTTTTATTTGCGTCAGTCAGACCAAATCGTTAATAATAAAGCTTTAGACGTTTCGCAAAATTTAACCTTGATGTATTGACGTGGTAAAGATTAATTTTTTAATTTGGATTAAGGTCCAATTCCACATGCATCAATGTATCTGAGGAAAGAGTCAAACGAATTAAAACCGTAACTATATAGCACGAAGGTTTATAATCTTTTAATAGAATTTGTATTGACGCGAGTTTAACATTTTTTACCCATTCCAAAAAAGTGTACAACGCCGTTAAAGAAGTCTTCACTTTAAAAACATCCGTCTTACGTATTTGTCCTGAAGCGAGTTTAACATTTTTTACCCATTCCAAAAAGTGTACAACGCGGCTAAAGAAGTTTTCAGTTCAAAAATATAAACTAACTAAAAACTAAAACGCTAATCTCGCGGTATTATGTAATGTAAAAAAAGTTTGTCTAATAGTTAAAAAAGAAGCTTTAATTATGACATATGGGAGTCCTCTTTAGCGCCCATTCCTAATCTGACGGTAGGTTAGGTAAGTTAACCAGCTGCCCACTGAAGTATTTCCGAAGCAATTTGACTTAGATTCCTTTAAGAAAAGTTCGTAAATATTCTTAAAATTCAGCCTTTCTAGCCTCCAAACACACTCGCGAGCCCTTTAGCATTGACTTCCATGGGTGGCGGTATCACATCAGATAAGCCTCCTGACTGTTTGCCCCCTGTTCTATAAAAAAAAACTTACGTCTTTGTTCCCAACTCTGAGAGAACTATGGAAATGAGTTAAACTATTCCTTTTTTGTTATCAATAAAATAATAAAACCAATTCATCTGTCATCGTTTTTATTCGTAGAGCATTAATAACCCTTTAGATAATTTAACAATTAGATACACCTGAACTAATCTTCGTTCTTCTAACGGATATTCGAATCGTGAAATTTATTTTAGAGCAGCAAATGTTGGACAACTTTGCTATCCTCTTTACTAATATGGGCTCTACTTTGCGTTATACGACTGATATGTACAACACCTTACGGAGTTCAATCCTTGATACTGCCGCTATATATAAAAAGTTATTGGGTTCCGTCGAACAATTTAACACAGCGGGATACACAACTTCGAGCAACTTAACACATGAAGGTCCACGGTCTCCTGAAGCAACACACTCTAAAGTAACAGCGAGTGCTTGTTCTAGTAATCAAGATCAACATAGAAATGATGTTGGTAACAAAACGCCGAAAAACAACAAGTTGTACCGGTTCATTCTACCACCGGAATATGATGCTTATGATACAAGATGGACATTGAAGTATCGAACAAATCTGCCAGGACTCGCAGAACTTATGCCCCAAAGTGGTGTTTACGTCAGCTACGGAGACCTCAAATACTGTCAGCTAGTATCGAAAGATTGCAAATCATTAGCTCGTAGATTATTACCATCAGTCTTCAACAGAAAAGCACTGAGTGTTTGTTCATCAATGAGTGAGAAAGCGCAGGCTTTTAATAACGTCGACTCTACTATAAGGCCAGATTTAGATGATCATGCGTGTTCGGTACTGTTAACTTTAGTTTTAGAGCATGGACTCCAACGTGGTTGGAATACTGATCTAGAACCTATCCTCAGAACCTTACACAGTAAGATGCAAAAGATTCGGTTCAAATATGGTGTAATGGTTGAATGTTAACGACACAAAGTGAGCCTACGATACTTCAATGTGCAAGTGCTGCCCGGACTAATCCGACGACGTCGAGCAATCAAGCTTCCATTGAACCATTGATGCTCCTCCATCAAAGCATCAAACCAACACTGAATCAACTATAGGCAAGATTCTCAACCCTGCAATCCTAGTGAACCACTTGATACAAAGAGAAGAACACTGGAATGAAAAAAAATTCAGAAAGACTGGAACGAAATGATGCCAACGCGGTTTAGGCACAGTCTTTTTTGCAATATGCGCGAGGAGTAAAGACGAGGGGTTTTTTTTGTGGGTAAAAATCCCACACTACCGTCTTAAAAAGGTTTTCCCCTTCGTAAAGAAAAAAACTTACAATATTACTATGTAAGTAAAGACTTGCACAGATTCAAAATTCCAACGAATTGGCATGCACCTTTCGTCCATGTAATTATTCTAGCTAATATTCATTGCAACTTTCAATGTGCAATCATTATAACATTCCCGTGTCTTTCTTACAAAAATTAATAATAATTGATATGAAAAAAAATTGTAATGAGCATTGAAAGTTTCAGTTAAAGAAATTGCAGGTCTCACAAGTGAAGAAATCTGTCTAGTAAATAAACATAACTGATAGAACTAAAAAAAATATTTTAAACAAATGACAATCGAATAGCATAAATTTAGTTACAATAAAAATTCATTATCTATGAGTCAAAAAAATATAGGTTCCGGATAAGTAATCACCAACATATTTAATTCAGTAGTCATATATATAGTAGTATTAGTATAGATAAGTTAAAATTGTTTCAAAAATGTCCAGTTACATTGAAATAATATACGAAAAAATATACTTAACCAAATACATAGTTCTAAACAAAACTTATCAGAACCTAAACATGTTTATTTTACACAATGTACTAAGCAAACGAATAACGTAATGGAAACTGTCCACTGTGTACACGTATAATTAATCCAATGCAACATATCTAATTACCTAGCAATGATATAAATCAATAGAAGTTGCATTGGAGATAGAGCAATGAAGGGAGCGGAATCGACAAAGCGAGAGACAGCTCCAAACAATACAAGTTATAGCGTATATATAGTATATACATATCATATTGTGGCTATTATATACGTTTATATATTATATTATTATGTAGGCGGAATCATTGAATATCATTTGGTGAGCAAAACTTTGATGAGCGATAGTTCGCACCAGTAAACACAGGGGGCACTAGCGAGTAACAATTCTAACGATTACTTTGTTCGCTTATTTGTTGAAATAAAATACAAAGGATGACTGTGTAATTAATTTAATAACCTTTTTCAGTATTTGTTGAAACGGATTTATTTTTTTAAATTTTATTGTATGCTTTTGATTGGATATCGGTATCACTATTATATATATATATTTTTTAATAATATAAGGCGCCGGTATTCGGCTATATAGGGATACCGTCTTGTAGTAGTATTTAATGTTCTTATATTTCCAATACACAAATAAACAGTATTTTACTACATAGTAATAATATTAAAAAATGTATAAACAGAAAATTAAAACAAATTTAAAAAGTTTACTTCCTGTAGCAATGTACAGTGTTCACCACATTTCCTTGCTCTATTGCGAATCGTCAACGACCAATCCCTTTCCGAGCGGCTTGATCCTTTGGCGTTGCGAAGAGATGTGGGGTCACATGGTATTTTTATTTGTCATCTTAACTGCGTAAAAATTCGAGAAATAAAGGAAAATACTGCTATGCCGTAGTCCAGGGAGAGTACTACACACGACAAAAACAATAAAGACTAACAGAGGTATCATTTATAATTAAAATTAAAAATAATAATGCCCTACTAATAATAATGATTTCACTTTTTTTGCTTTAGTGAAAAGTCAAGCCTTTTTTGAGAAATAGAAAAAAAATAACATAAACATTGCTAATAAATAAAGGAATAAATAAAGATTACTGTAGGCGTGGTCACAGTTTACATTGAAACACATGAGGAGTAATATTATGTTGGTTTTCTAGTTTTTACTTATTAATACAAAAATGAGTTAGCTTAATTTTTTTTATTTCTTTCAGTCCGATAGTAACCGACGAAACAATAGTAACGTTAATTATGTAATAAACCATTTATTCTTCCAGGTTGCTGCTGTATGTTAAGCTCTTCATAGTAATGGGTATTAACTGGGTGCTAGAAGTGATCAGCGCTTTGTATCCTAAAGCTAACAGCATATGGAAGTTCACAGCTACGATGTCCACAAAGGTGGGTGTGATTATCTTCATTCTCTTCGTGTGCAAGAAGAAAATTTTCCGGCTACTAAAGAACAGGTAATTTACTATTTCTAAGACTGGATATTGCAGATTCTTATAGATCTACTTACTTGCCTTTGTGACACTTTATCGACTGAGAAGTTAACTAAGCTTTATTTATAAGTAAACCCTCTACTTAGATCCATAATGTTACAGGTTAATTTATGTGTTTCTTTATCCATTGCTTAGCTATATACTATGTCATGTTTTAAACCAGTTAATGATTTACATAGGATCAAAGAGAAAGTTCACAGAAGAGATACAGAATTAAGAAGTACGGTCCGGACCGGTGTTGGAAGTCGAAGAAACATAAACATGGATTAAAAAAGAACAACTACTGTTATATAAAGTCTGATAAACGTAAACATAACTTTAAGGACACAAATGAAACGAAGACTAAAAATAATTATTTATTTCATCAAGGTACGGATTTAAGTTTGGGAACAGCCTAATGAAAGACTAACGCAAGCTTTAATTAACAGGCTGTGGTTTAAAAGGAGTATAAGTTGCACATGGTTTTAAAGCACTATGGGTCAGATTAATGATTCTAGAATAAGATTTGTTTTCTATCTTAAGGTGTCTCTTTGGTGGGTTTTTCATTTTCCTTTTATTCGTAGATTTCTCTTAATTAATTAATTATTGGGGTTCTCTGGATTTGGATAATTTCCGGTATACAAATTAACTTACTATTTGAACTTTGGTTTGGTTTATTATACTCCATTTTATTTTTTATTTCATTTACGTACTATATTCACTCCTGTATCATTTTAGGGTCGGCACGTATTTTGTCATGTTATCACACGGTACTCAGAATTACGTGCTCACTCTCACCTGTGGTTATTAGACTTTGACAGAATGAAGAGAGTTCTCTCTTATTCTTGTCTTAAAGTCCTATTAGCAATAAATCTATAGTAACAATAGACCAGTACATACTACTAATACAACATGTACTGTACATATAACGTATTATATTTACTTCATTGTTATCTCTGCTGAGTATTTCGAAATACCGAACTGAGTTCAAATACCTACTACCGTCGTCCTGACGCATTATCAAACGTTTTGCCACTCCATTGGACCGATACGTTCATCCAGTTGTATATTATAATTATGAAGGTCAAAGTGGTATGGAATTAGTTGCAAAATCGCTTCGCTATCTCTACAACGCGTGAAATATTCATTGTTACAAGAGATACATAACTGAAATAAAAGGTAAGGGTCAATTTGATTATCACCAACGTTGAAATATAATTGTTTTAATGATAATTACAATTTCTCTATACCTAACTCATCCTATCTTCATTTTTACTCTGAAGATAATAATCATAAACCAAATTTTTTGATCGTAAAGCATATTCTGATGCTTCGCATTATGAGTCGTGCGATAATGATTTTTTGTTCAATTATTTGACATATCGAATGAAAAATTACAGTATTCACTATTTAATTTTTCAAATATTATGAATTTAATAAAACACTATTTTGACCGGATTGAAGTTATGTATTATTATAAATTTACAACTATTTAACATAATTTTAAATTTATCCGACGTTTCGCGTGCTTTACAGCGTGCGTGGTCACGGTGACTGAAGACAAAAGATGTTGAATGTCAAAAAGTATCACAGCTGCAGAGAAAGTTGCATTATCTGTATTTATTTCCCCGGAGTTGGTATCGACTAAAAGATGGAGGGTTTTGGCAAAAATGGCTTACGGTGTCCTCTATTTTCGCGGATTGTTCTTTTTGAGATTTTAATTTGGATATTATTGGATCCCAGGTGCTTGACAATTTTAGGCCGTCTTCTCTATTGAAATTGGGGTGTTTTTTGATTTCAATGGCTTCGCGTACCAATCTTGGGAAGAATCTTTTCTCTTTCGCAAGTACTTTCGGTTGGTCAAAGCGTATGTAGTGATTAGGCCTATCTAGTATGTGTTCACAGACTGCTGATTTTGTGTGATTTCGCGGTGCCGTTGCAAAATTTAAGCCTTTATTTAATACCTCAATGGTTTGTTTATCCAAATTTTGTTTCGACAGATTGATGACAGTGACGTTTTGACTACTAAATAAAGGCTTAAATTTTGCAACTTACCCCATTGCAAGATGCAGGTATATACAAACTGGATTGCGACTGTGGCCTGTCTTACATAGGGCAAACTAAACGCAATATGTCCAGCAGACTCAAAGAACACATTGCAGACATAAGACATAGACGACACACAAAATCAGCAGTCTGTGAACACATACTAGATAGGCCTAATCACTACATACGCTTTGACCAACCGAAAGTACTTGCGAAAGAGAAAAGATTCTTCCCAAGATTGGTACGCGAAGCCATTGAAATCAAAAAACACCCCAATTTCAATAGAGAAGACGGCCTAAAATTGTCAAACACCTGGGATCCAATAATATCCAAATTAAAATCTCAAAAAGAACAATCCGCGAAAATAGAGGACACCGTAAGCCATTTTTGCCAAAACCCTCCATCATTTAGTCGATACCAACTCCGGGGAAATAAATACAGATAATGCAACTTTCTCTGCAGCTGTGATACTTTTTGACATTCAACATCTTTTGTCTTCAGTCACCGTGACCACGCACGCTGTAAAGCACGCGAAACGTCGGATAAATTTAAAATTATGTTAAATAGTTGTAAATTTATAATAATACATAACTTCAATCCGGTCAAAATAGTGTTTTATTAAATGAATAAAAGTTATGTTAATCAAAGACAATACTAAATATTATGAAATTATTAATTTATTCTTATTATTAACTGAATTCATGGAATAATTATCATTAGAGATACAATAAAAAATATGGGGTGTCAAAGTCAAAGTCAAAGTCAAATCGTTTATTTCAATTAGACCATCTAAAATGGCACTTTTGAACGTCAAAAATAAAAATATAAAGATGATTCTAGTTGCCCTTCCAAAAGGTAGTTTCGTGTGGAGAAGAATGGGCAAGAAACTCCACACTTACTCTTTTAAAATAGGTTTACAATATTTTGTTACATTTGTTAAATAATTATATGTGAAGACAATGTACTCTTAGAATAAACTACTATACTAAAAAAGTTAGTATACATGTTCCTCACATATTTACAAATATCGAAACCTTAGAATATTAACATTAAAGAGTAATAAAAATATTAAAAAAACACAACAAAACAGTGTGTGAGATACAAAAAAAATAATTACATTTGTAGCATTATATAAATTAAAAAAATAATAATAATAATAATAATAACAAAAATTAACATATTTTTTTTTAGCAAAAATCAGCAACCAATTTGATTTTGTCCAGGCTATAGAGCCAATCATAGGATTGTCCTATGGAGCAGGACCAGCATGTTTCCAAGCATTCTTATCTTGAATATAATCATCTAATTTGTAATATGCTTGTTTACAAAGTGTACTTTTAATAAAACATTTAAATTTTCGTTCATTTAGTTTTAAAATGTCACAAGGTATTTTATTGTAACATTTCACACAGTACCCCATAAATGAATTTTGAACTTTGGCTAATCTGAAAGATGGTTGAGCTATTTTATCTTTATTTCTAGTACTAAAATTATGTCTTTCATTTATTTTACTAAAAAGATGTAGATTCTTTCTTACATACATAATATTTTCATAAATGAATTGGCAAGGTACTGTCATAATATTAATCTTTTTAAATAGTTCCCTGAGAGATTCGCAACGACGTAGATTATAAATGGCTCTGACCGCTCTCTTTTGCAAAATAAAAATGGATTCTATGTCAGCAGCCCGACCCCACAGTAAAATGCCGTAAGACATTATGCTGTGAAAGTAGCTAAAATAGACCAAACGCGCAGTTTCTACATTGGTTAAATATCTTATCTTTCTAACCGCATAAACGGCTGAGCTCAGCCGCCCCGCAAGAGATGTGATATGAGGTCCCCATTGTAACTTCTCGTCTAGCGTGATGCCTAGGAAAACCGTTTGATTAATAAATTCCAGTTTTTCTTCATTCAACATTATGTCACATTCCTTACTTTTAACATTTGGCAACGTAAATCTAATACATTTAGTTTTTTTATCATTCAGTGCCAAATTGTTTACCGTAAACCAATTTTGGACCCGAAGAATAGAGTTATTCACGTCGTCACGATTTTGTGACCGTCGATCTACTTTAAAAATCAATGATGTGTCATCTGCAAATAACACCATCTTCGGTTTATTCTGAACTAATTGGGGTAAATCATTTATGTATACTAAAAAGAGGAATGGACCCAATATTGAACCCTGAGGAACGCCCATTGTAATTTCAGACCCTAACGAGTTTATGCCGTTAACCTGAACTTTAACCTGTCTGTTTTTCAAGTAAGATCTTAGTAAGTCCAGAGCTTTGTTCTTAATCCCGTAGTGATTAAGTTTCAGCAGAAGAGTCTCATGGTTTACGCAATCGAACGCCTTCGAAAGGTCGCAAAAGATTCCAATGGCATCTTGTGCTTCCTCCCAAGCGTTAAAAATGTTCTTGATTAGGGAGACACCGGCGTCAGTTGTACAACGCCCTTTGGTGAAACCGTACTGTTGTTCATGAAAGATGGAGTTTTTATTAAAGTGACATAACATTTGATTGAGCATTAACTTTTCAAAAACCTTACTGAGAGCTGGCAGAATTGACACAGGTCTATAATTATTGGGTTCTTTACTATCACCGGATTTGAACAACGGAACTACTTTACTGTGTTTCATGAGATCCGGAAAGACTCCTTGGTCTATGCTGGTGTTAAATATGAAAGCTAAATAAGGCGCAATAGTTTCGATGATAGAACTACAGACTTTTACAGACAATCCCCAAAGATCTTCTGTAGATTTAATTTTAAGATCTTTAAAAGCTTTCATAACAGCCTGGGGGTTTGTATATTGAAATCGAAACTCCGTAGGGCATGCCCTTACATTCTTCGTAAGTAACGCAAAAGAAAGTGCGGATGATGAACTTAAAGCTTCGGTAGTTTTAAAGGGAATATTGATAAAAAAGTTTTCAAATTCCTGAGCTATTTCTGCATTTGAGTTTATTGGGCCATGTGCAGTCTCTAAGTTAAATTCAGTATTACGCTGTTTTTTTCTACCAGTTTCATTATTTATTATTTGCCAGGTAGTTTTTATTTTGTCATCCGCTGATTTTATTTTATTACTAATATACAGTGATTTAGCAATTTTGCACACACTTTTAAAAGTTTTTGAATATTTCGCAACATGCTGATGAAAGTTTGTATTTTTTACATGTTGCCTTAGGCCATATAGTTCAAAAAGTTTATCCCTGCTCTTACGAATACCTGGAGTCGCCCAATCACTAAATAAGAACTTGGTGTAAATACTTTTTGTCTTTTGTGGAACAATGTCATTAAATTGCGATTTTAACAAGGTAAAAAACTCCGCATAGAACTCATTAGGGTCCCAAATATTATTAAAGTTTTGAACACACAATTTACTGGTCAAGGTATTATTTAATTTCTCTAAATTTTTACATGTAATTGGCCTATACCTTATTTGAATTTTTTGTACAGGTATGTAGGCACAAAACGTTATTGTTTGTCCACTGTGATCAGAAGGCAATTTATTAACAATTTCTTTATGTAAGTAATCACAATTACAAAAAATATTATCTATACAAGTGGCAGAAGAAGCTGTCACTCTAGTTGGTTCCATAAAAACATTAGACAGATTAAATGATTTAAAAAGACTTATTAATCTGATACTATTTGAGTTTGTTTCTAATAAGTTAATATTAAAATCACCACTTATGATGATTGATTTACTACTAGTACTAAGTTTTTTTTAACACATCTTCCATTACAGAATCAAATACAGATAGATTCTGATAGCCCGGAGGTCTGTAAACACATACTACAACATGCTTATCGAGCTCGACACAGGACAACTCTATAGAATGTTCAACTGACAATCTGATAATGTCTTTCCTTTCTTTAGATTTAACAGAATTTTTGATTAATATTAATGATCCACCGTGTATCATACACTTCCGGCTGAAATAGCTAACTACACAATAATTTTCATAATTAATAGACATTATCTGATGATCATCTAACCAATGTTCAGTTAAACAAATAATATCGAACTTGGTTTTTTCTAAAAACATTTCTATTTCCAGTAATTTGGAAGAGCAACCTTGAATATTCTGATGAAATAATCTTAAAGTATGTTGCTTTCCTTTTGGTTTATTAAAACATGTTAAATTGCCAGAAGATACCTTTTTATTATCCACAAATAATAATTGATTATTTAAACGGTTAACTTCTGTTGTCTTACAGCCTAGTTTAAAGTACTATCCGGAGTGACCTCTACAGTTGTAGAATAACCTAAGGTATGTGTTCCAGCAGGAAGAGTATACTCTATCTGACTGGTATTGGCCTCCAAGTATGTTGGTATTATAGGTGGACCCTCCTTCGTACAACATAAAGATATATTATCAATCACTGTGTTGTTAGTGTAACTAGGCAACACAGTCTCGTCACTAATCCTAGAATTTGTTATATTAGCTATAACCTTGTTAATATTGTATGCTATTAACATAGCAATCAACCGTCTACATTCAAAAGACAGAGATAAAGTTCTCTGAGTTAACTTAGAACCACTAATAAACTTATTAGTGTCAAAATATAATAATTTGTCACTATGACGACATGTCAACATGTGAATAGTATTATTCAATTTAAAAATATGATTATTTTCAACCTCTGACAGAGTATCAGAGTAGGGAAAAGCACATAACATCAGCTTTCCTATGTTTAATTTTAATAAGGTGCTGACACCATCCACTATGTCCTTTTTGGTAATACCAATGCTGTTACCTAGTAATAAAACTAAGGCAGAATAATTGTCCAGGTTTGAATTTTTAATTTGTTTAATTATTTGTTTAAAACTTATGTTATGGTAACTATGATTGGTAAAACTATGGCTAAGGTAATTATGTAGGATTTTTCCAAAGCCTGAACCTATTTCATCACAAAAGAAAATGGTTTTATTTTTCTGTGTATCAACAACGGACTTTGCTGTAAGAGCTAGCACCGGAGGAGATAAGTCAAGATTGAGCTGAGGAGGTGGCGGATGGCTCGCACTGGTGCTTGAGAGATTGTTGGTCAGCGGTGTATAATATTATTCATTTCTTTGAATATTTTTCTTTATTAAAGTATCGATAGATTTCACTTATTTAACCTTTGGTCGTTTCCACTGATTCCATTAATGATGATTCCCACTAATTATAACAATAAACTTTATTTTTAATCAGTTCAAACATTGATTATTCACTATTTTCTCATGGTATACTTATAGCTGTGACAATAAGTGAATATGTACTGCAAAATAGTGAAAATATACTTTTTTATTTTTAGAGAGTAGATTGGTAATCAGTCAAGACTAGTGTTGTTTTCACAATATTAAACTACTTGATGTTTACGGAAGTGTTTTTGATTTTTTCAGATGACACGTGAAAGTGATAATAAGCGAGAATTCTATGTTATTCAATTCATACAATTATTGCCTTTTGAAAGTATCGCTGATTACGTATGCGTGCCGTATACGTGGCTGATATTAAGTAGTGAGACGCATGACAAGGTCGTTGTTGCGTACCCTAACGACGAAGATCCTTCTGATACAAGAGATCGCGTGAAGAGGAAGGAGAGACGCAATGATAAGTGGAGATTTTATATGGCTACTGTCAAATATAAATCAGGTGAGTTAAAGTAAATGTATTAGTTAATAGATTGTGCGTTACATCATTGAAGTATATTCAGATTCCGAAAATCTTATAAATTAAGAGATAATAATATTGATGTATTTTTTTTCAGATTCTTTCAATGCAGCAGAATTGTGGATAGCCAAGAGAAATAATAACGGACCTTTGGTTGAAAAAGAATCAAAAGTAACAAGTGAGAATCAAATTATTTTACCAGTGTTCATAATTTTCATTGTAAATACATTTATGAATACTACTTATTTTAAATTCCAAGCTTTCCAAATAATAATAAGAATTTTTATTTCTAGATAAGCAACCAAAGCTTCCTTTCAATAAGAAGCTGTGCAGTTGCCTATCAAAACCATTTGTCAAAATCCAATGATAATTTTCGGAAACCTCTACTAAAGAAAGAAATTGATGCGAAACGGTTGAAACAAGATAAACCTGCTCCGTGTCATCCAGTGCGGTTGTTAATGACGCCAAAGTAGTGGCTAGATCTCAAAAAATAAAACAGGTGGTTATCATCCAGGATAACCAATCAATGGAATTTTCTCAGACAGAAGAATCTTCTGTTGCTTCGAATGCTGACGAAATAACTCAATCAAGGTCTAAAATTCCGCGTACTGAGCAAACCGAACAAGCTGTAAGCTCGCCCGTAACAAACATTGATAGTCGTACTCAAATCATCAATATTGATGACGAAAATCACTCTCCACATGTTAAGAAGCCCGATCATAATAATAGCATGAGTCAAGCTTACTCTTCTAGCAACACAACGGATGTATCAATGACAGCAACTAAACCTTCTACTTCAGCTAAACAGAGCACTCGGCCGAATCACTATAATCATCAAGAATATATTCCAGACAGATGTTCATTATCAAACTTTCAACCACAGATTGATAATGTTCGATCTCTTGCAAATGTTGACGATCACAAACAACCCGTCAATGAAGTTCCAAGTCGGAAACTGCCTACCTCTTATAAGGGTCGGAGAGGTCGACGTTCAATACTGATTCAAAAACAAGTTGAAAAGATATTATTTCAGACGAAAATGGAAAGAAATTTGGCCATTGGCGCACAGAATCCATCGACCAAACCAGACAATTGTCGACGCGTTCATTACAACAACCACTAGTGGTAACTCATAATCAATCTCAAAATGATTCACGAGTTATAGGAACGCACACTGAAAATAGCGACCAAACAGCTCCGCTCAGAAGCATCGGAATGACCTCTCAATTAATTCAACAAGACAGACTTCGGGGTTTTACAGAGAGCAACACTTACGATCATCGACCTACATCTGAAACTATCAATATGAGGACTCCATCAGTTAGACAAAACTCAACACACCTTTCAAATCCAACGTATCAGACTCCCGAGCTTGCACGACAGAGACAGATGCAGAAGCCAAATAAGGTGGATTCACAGCAGAGACCAAAATGAGGCATCTCTATCAAGCCTAAAGACAGAAAACCAAAGTCTTCGTTCCAAGGAGTCACAAAGACACCGCCTTTGACATCAGCTATTTCGACAAATTTACTGAAAACAATACGACAAATATTATCAACTAATCATAATAATTTTGAATAATCCACAACTGGACGCAAGAATGAGTCCACGATCGACTGGAGATAACAATGTAGACTTCACAACCAGCCCGCAGAATATCATAGCGTCAGAAACAGGTGACAGCAACACACTCTAAAGTAACAGCGAGTGCTAGTTCTAGTAATCAAGATCAACATAGAAATAATGTTGCTAACAAAACGCCGGAAAACAGCAAGTTGTACCGGTTCGTTCTACCACCGGAATATGATGCTGATGATACAAGATGGACATTGAAGTATCGAAAAAATCTGCCAGGACTCGTAGAACTTATGCCCCAAAGTGGTGTTTACGTCAGCTCCGGATACCTCAATTACTGTCAGCAAGTATCGAAAGATTGCAAATCATTAGCTCCTAGATTATTAACAGAAATGCACTGAGTATTTGTTCATCAATGAATGAGAAAGCGCAGGCTTATAATAATATCGAATCTAATATAAGGCCAGATTTAGATGATCATGCGTGTTCGGTACTGTTAAATTTAGTTTTAGAGCATGGACTCCAACGTGGTTGGAATACTGATCTAGAACCTATCCTCAGAACCTTACATAGTAAGATGCTAGAGTTTCGGTGCAAATATGGTGTAATGGATGAAGTTAACGACAGAAAGTGAGCCTACGATACTTCAATGTGCAAGTACTGCCCGGACTAATCCGACGACGTCGAGCAATCAAGCTTCCATTGAACCATTGATGCTCCTCCATCAAAGCATCAAACCAACACTGAAGCAACTATAGGCAAGATTCTCAACCCTGCAATCCTAGTGAACCACTTGATACTAAGAGAAGAACACTGAAATTAAATCGCAGCCTCCGCTCGGCGCTTTTTAATGGAAACAATTTCAGAAAGACCGGAACGAAGTGATTCAAACGCGGTTTAGGCCCAGTCTTTTTTGCACTATGCGCGAGGAGTAAAGACGAGGGGTATTTTTTGGGTAAAAATCCCACACTACCGATAATAATCATTGTTTAGAGTCTTATAAAGGTTTTCACCTTCGTAAAAAAAAAAAACTCACAATATTGCTATGTAAGTAAAGCCATTCAATAATTCCAAATTATTGAGGCTTAGAATTAGAGTAGTTAATAACATTCTTATGATATTATTTCGGAATCAAGGCTTAGACTTAATAGTCATCAATTATAGTTGTAATTTTAATTTATGTTCCTAATATATCTGTGAGATATATACCTTTAGATGTTATGAACAATCAAATAGATTAATAGTAGTTTGGTTAAAATTAGAAGTAACCACTGCTAAGCAGCGTGGTGTTGTTAAATCTGTATTATTATTATTCCTGCCACTGATTGTTTTACAAGTATATGTTTTTCGGAGCCAAAAACTGTCAAACTAGAAAATATTTTATGTTCGAAGCTTGGAGACAAGCAAAGTAGAGTAACTATTTAGTTTATACAATAATTTATCACAGAGTGATAATTACAAAATTTTTGAGTAAAGTTGGTTTTGATCGTCAAAGCGAGACTTAAATAACTGTATTGTAAAATACAGCTTATTACAAAGCAATAAAGACTATTGCAGAACAAAAGGAAAAATAAAATTGAAAACTACAAATAAATCTTTGAAGTAGCAAAGACAATATTTTTAACAAAAACAGTACTCTGTCTCTTTCCATTATGGTGTAAATACAATTTGACGGAAAGAGACAAGTGTACTATTATAACAGTGCAATATCATTGAGTTTTTATAAGGGAATAGCTATGATATCGGCTAGATCATCTAAAACTTTTAATATTGTTATATTAACCACTTTTGATAATGTACTAGGATAAATGCTTTTAATTAATATAAATCCATAAATTCTTTTATGGGCATTGCAAATGTAGAAATATTTTGCCTGTTTGCGTTTAAGTATTACGTGACAAATTTTGTCCTTTTGTAAAACGTTAGGATGCGTAGCGCGGATTGAATTACGCGTTATTGTTAATATGATTTTCGACTTTCCAGTACTTTACACCACATAATGGTAACTTTTAGGTATAAAGAGTCACTAGGTGGTCACGAAACGTTTTATTATACTTGGGTACGGTAGAAAAACGTTACGGCGCGTTACATGGGGGGGTCCATAATCTCGAAAAATTGCGTGACGTAATACTTGAACGCTCCCTTACACAATCGACTTTTTAGACATCTATAATTTGATTTGTGTAATAATCCAGTTGCGTTTCAACCTTTATTTGGTTTTCGCTTCAGTCTGACTTTGATAGCTTTCTTTTGACGACGTGTCCGACCTTCTGTGCCTGACACGCGTCATTCATTTGATGATTGATGAACGCGATTTCAATTTGAGAACGTGCTGCTTTCGCACCAAAATTCATCCACATTCGCTAGCTTAGTAGGACCAACACTGGTCTGTGTTTTTACCTCGTCGGATATCTACGGGACCTCATATGTATGATTTCAGTTGTTATATGTTTTAAGACAAAACCTATGTATATTTTATTTACTTGTTAGACATAAATGATCTCATTTAATTTTATTACTCGTTACTACGAAAATATATTAACTAGTTATATACTGTAATTGTACTTTTTATAATTGTATAGAAATAAATTGAATAAATGTTAAAAAAATAGCTTGTAACATTACCCCAGTAAACACTACGTAAATAAGTCTAAACAAAGTATTTTCTTTGTTTCGTTTGTATATGTTACTGTAAAAGCTCGAACTGCCCTGCGATTCTGTAACTCACTTTTCGAACTCACACAGCGGTTTTCGCATCGGCGGTCGCTCTCAAATCAGTCGTGAAGCAGTCATTTTATGATTTGGCATTCTGAAAAGGTGGGAGCTTGTAGTTTATTGTTTATTTTTCACACACGCACATTCATACTTGTAAAAAAAAATACATAATTGTATTTATGCGAGCAAATAAATGTAACTTGATCAATTTAATTGTGATTTCCATTTACCTTCTTCTCTATACGAAATATCTATCAAACAAATACAATTAAAATTTTCTTTTGGAAAATGCAACCATTCTATCAGTTTTTCTTATGACGTTGTCACGTTCAACTATCGTCAGTAAACCTACTTTACAGACAACCGATTTTTTTTCAAAATAATTTAAGTAAGTTGGTATTAATTTGTACTTATTACTATCATATGATACCTTTATAATATCTACTATGTACCTGTTTTGTCTAATAGTTCATTAAACTAAATAATTAAGAATTACTCATTGTTTTATTCCTAAAACCAACATCTACCAGCCAGCTGACAGTGGTAAAACCTAGCATATACTGAATTCGAATGGTAAAAGCTCGAAAAAATCGTAGTATTTTCAGAAATTCTTACATTTACCAACTCATGTCGGTAAATCCTAAGACTTACTTATCTTAAGATTCACCGTAGTTCGAGCTTTTACAGTAACATATACACCGTTTTAAATAACGTTTCTACTCATCTATCTCTTTTCGTGACAGCGTTCAGACAATTTGGAAGAAAGAAACTAAAGTTCAAAGTAACTTATACTGCTGTAGTTTTATGCGACAGTTTTTAATTCAACGTTAAATTGTCCTTATCAGTTTCGTACTACCTCGAAGATAAATAAAAGTGACATGCATTCCTGTATTAATAAAATAATTTTACAGTAGCAGTTGTTCCAGGTTTTTCGTTAATTAATTGAAGGATATAAAAAAATATTATGTATGTATACAAAAATAGTGATAAGTTTACTAGAATAGAACATACGCACAATGTTAATACACGGAACAAACGCAGGCTGCAATTTCCCCGTACTAGACTATCTAAAGTTAGTAATTATCTTTTTTTCGAAAAGGGATACTCTTCTTTAATAAAATCCCAGAGGCTCTTTTATCTCTGCCTTTTAATAAATTTAAGAAATGTATTAAAGAAAAGCTGTGTAAAAAGGCTTACTATAAAGTTAACGATTATCTAGTTGATAAAAGGGCCTGGGACTAATGCTAGACAGGCTACTTCTAATTAGCTTGCGATATTTGTTTTAAAATAAGTGTTGTTTGATGATTTGCTATTTTAAAAGAGTATCTACCGAGAGATTTTTTACGCTGGCTTTTTCTCTCGGCCTACACCCTCTGTCTTCTTTGCCGATGAGTAGGGATTCCTACAAATTCAAATTTAATGACGTGGAATAAGTGATACATGTATCTTATGTTCCATAATAATAAACATTTTTTTTTAATGAATAATCATTATATTATAGTAAGCTTACTCCAACTCAAAGTGAACCTTTGTCGATCGCTACCCAATCGGGCACTTTGAAGCTCGTGCTCGGTTATTTCCGGCGTGCTTCCGTGCTTCCGTGCTATATTATAATTCTTAAGGTTTTTAGTTTTAGGTTCATTCTTTTAGCATATTTTTTTTTATTTCTGTATGAATAAATATTTTATTCGGAAACTAACGATATTTCACATTATCAATAATTGACATTTGCGAAGTTGTTATTCACAGTCAAATTAATTTGTGCTTTAACGCATCAATCGTTTCTTATTTTTTATTATCTATTTAATTAGAGGACTTTTTAGCTTCATTTAGCTTACCACAACGCTATGAATATCCTATTACTAGTACGGACTAAAAAGAGGTCTAAATGGTTGGTGTAAATCGTGTTATGTAATTAAAATAATATTCACGTTTCGAGATCACCCTTTATTAAACTTTATTGAAATGTTGGTGACCAACAGGAAAATTTGTATTAATTAGTCTAACAAAGTTGACTTGAATCAATATCCCTTTGTATAAATAACACAGTTTATTACGAATTAGACCTTAAACCAAATCGTACCGATTTTAATAAAACTTCAACAATGATCTGATCATCTGGATTAGTTAGGTTTCCAGAAATAAAAAACTACATACACTTTTTTATATAGCAGAGGGCAAACAGGCAGGTGGCTCACCTCATAAAGTGATTCCGGCGCCCATAGACACACAATTTGCCAGAGGCCTCGCAAGTGTGTTGCAGGCCTTTTAAGAATTGGTACGCTCTTTTCTTAAAGCCCTAAGAAAGGCTTCTCAATGCACTCGGTAGAAGATGCAGATAGACCCTACATCTCTACGCAACGCCAAAAGTCAACGATTCAAATCGCTCTTTGTTTAATACGGTCAAGTGGAAGGAGCTGGTTATGGGGAGTACCCGGCCAGAGGTGTTAACAGTACTCCATTCGTGGCCGAATTTGTGCTTTATATAGATGCACAAGCCCAGAAGGAAGCCTTGTCTGAGCATACCAAACTTTTTAGTGGCTAATTTAGTATTTCCTTTTATTTGAACCGCAAAACTGAACGTCATTCGATATGTCACGCCCAATATTCGGATGATAGCTGACAAAGATTGTTTTGTAGCGGAAAATGCCCAAACTTGTCTTCTTGGGGTTAAATTGGACTACATAACTATATCTACCAGTCCGAGACTCTACGTAGCTGAGTTTCGACTTCAGACACAAGCTTGTTCCGTCACCGATCGACAACTGCCTGAGAAATACATCATATACACTACTAAAATTGAAGCATAATTGAATCACTCCAGTCACTCAAGTATTATATTTACCTCCGCTTGTGAAGTTGGTTAAATTGGCTTTTCCTGAAGTGTGTGTGCGCTAATATTCATAATTGCTTTGCATT